GTCCCCGGTCCATAGCCTTGGCTCAATGATTGGGACACTGGTCCTTGGGCCTCTGCTACTGACTTTAGGTTTCAAAATGGGTATACAAAAACTGATGGCCTCAGTGGGTCCTGATGACCCTAAAATGGGACTTAAACATTCGCACTGACCTCAGTAATTTCTGCCAGCAAGCTAGGAAGTAGCCCAGGGCTCCAAATGGCCAGGTTCTCGCCTTCTTCTCTCTGCTCCTTCTGTTCTCTCTGACTCTTTGGACCGAACTACTTTTATTTCCACCCCTCTTGCTCCTGCCGTCTGCTTTTGGCTCTTCCTCCTTCTTCGCCACACCATGGCCACTGCAAGCTTTCTGCTACCTTTCTTCCCCACAGCTGTCACTGCTGCAGATGCCACCATTGCCATCTCTGGTCACTGCACATCGCTAGAGCCACCTACCATCCATCCCACCAGCCTCTCCAAACAGCTAAATGTGATTTCTCTTTTTGGTTGCTCTTCTCTTGTGTATTGTGAGCAGACTGCCACTATGTGGCTGCCGCCATCTTGGCATGGCTAGTCCCACCCCTCTCCTCTGGTTCCCATGGTGTTGCTGCCATCTTGGTGTGACAAGCCCTGCCCCTCTGTAACCACGTGGTCTCCAGTAGATGACCACCATTATGAACCAGTAAATCCCGCCTCTGCAGGCCTGGGCTGGTGTGGCCACCTCACCACCACCTCTCTTCCTCCTCCTCCGGCCTATGGCTTGCCTCCTGCCACGCCAGCTCCCTTCCCTGACGTGTTCTCAGATCCAGGTCCGAAATCCGTAAATAGCATTTAAGGTTTTAATGCCCGTGAGGAGTAGGCAGAGGAAACCCATCTTCGACAGGAGGTGAGTCTGCAAACCCAACCCTTGCTACCTTTGAGGCCGATGGCAGCCATGCATGGTCCAAGGGGGACTGTGCATAGTGGGGGTGCAACGAAAGGAAGAGTGCCACCTGGAGGATGCCTCAAGTGAGGGCCACAGTGCCCTCAACCCAGGGCTCCAACCAAGCCCTGCCCAGTGTGTGGTCAAAACTGCCCCTGGAGGGAAAGGGGAGTGGGGGGATGCAAAAAGAGACTGGATTAAAATCGTATAACCTATGGATGAGGACAATGGCGGGGGGTGGGGTGGGTGGGAGGTAAGGGCAGAGGGTGGGGTGGGAACCAGGTAGAAGGGAGCTATGGGGGGGGGGAGAGGAGAAACAATTGTAATAATTTGAGCAATAAAGATTTATTTAAAAATAAAAATAAAATAAAATACTTTGGGTAAACAAAACAAAACAAAACTGCCCCTGGAAAAATGACGGGCCCTCTGCCTCTCAGCGCAGAGGGACTATCCTTCCAGGTCATGACCCACTGCTGGCCATGATGGAACTGACTGAAGACTGAAGATGCCCAGACTTGACGATCCCCATCACCCTCGTCAAGCCCCCAGTCAAGGTCGAGGTAGCGGGTAAGAAGATCTCCTTCCTGGTGGATTTGGGGTGTGAGCTACCTCTACCTTGCCCTCCTTTTCCAGGCCATTATTCCTTCCACAATCTTGGTCATAGTTATTAACTGCAAAAATGCTCTGGTCTCAGTGCCTTCTCATCCCATCCTCTTCCCCTCGCCACACTCCCTAGAGAACAACTTTCTCGCTGACACAGGCTTATCAGAAACTCAATTTTGAACTCAAGCAGTTACAGGCCTGTTCCCTCCTCCCCTTGCCTTTTCTAAATATTTTCAATAGCATACAATGATCAAAGAAAAGAAGAAATGAAGTTCTACAGTTAACTGTTGATAAGAGTTTTTAAAAGACCCACTCACCTGGATAATCCTGCCTCAAGGGTTCAGAAACAGTGCTCATCTGTTTGGCCAGGTCTTACCCAGAGACCTCCAACAATGCTTATTAGAACCCAGCACTATACATCTCAGAGGCATATAGCTGGTCTCCATTGGTGGGATTTTTCCATCATTGGGTCCCAAATTTTTCTCTCCTAGCTAAGCTCTTATACCAGGTCTCCTCACCCGCCAAGCTTTTTCTAACTCCAGGACACCCTTCTGGTCTCTCTCTCTCCTCTCTTCTCCCAGACATCTCTAAGCCTTTCCAACTATTTACTCTTGAAAGATGGAATAGCCACAGGGGTCCTCACCCAGTCCCTAGGGCCAGCCTTCACCCCTTTAGCTTACCTGTCCAGACAGCTTGATCCCACAGTTTGGGGATTGCAGCCCTGCCTCTGGGCTCTGGCTGCAGCTTATGTTTTCATCAAGGAGGCCCAGAAGATCTGCCTCCAGCAACCCTTACAGGTCTTCTCCACTCATAGACTACAGGATCTTCTGTCACACCGATCCTGATCTCTCCTTGCCCCCTCTCCCACGCAGGAACTCCATCTCTTGTTCCTTAAGAGTTCTGACATCTCCCTAACTTAGTCCCCAGGGTTGAACCCAGCCATCCCTTCCCAGTGCCTCCACCCAACCTATGGCAATGCACTCCTGTCCCTAGATTGTCAGAGGCCCTCACTCAACCTTGGGTGGGACTCTCAGATCTTTCTCTCTCTAATCCTGACTTAATTCTGTTTGTGGATGGAAGCTTGTGTCTAGACCCCAAGAGACGTTGGAAAGCCTCCAACATGATAGTAACACTCAAGCGGACCCTGGAGATAGCCTTCATCCCTCTTCACCCCGCATACACTGCGAGAGGCAGTCACGAGTGCCTGCTCCTCCTATTCCACGTGTGCAGCTGCTTCACCACAGGGAGGAATGCACCCAAACTTGCTACTCATCAAATGAGGAGACACCTCTCAGGGCAGGACTGGCAGGTCGACTTCACCCATATGCCCCCCACAAGAAGACCAAATATCTGCTTACCATGGTAGACACCCTGACAGGGTAGACAGAGGCCTTCCCCATCTGCAAGGAAACTGCTGAGGTTGTGGCTGAGACCTTGATAACACACATAATCTCTGGTATCTCCTGGAAACTGCACATACCCTACCACCCACATTCATCGGGTAAGATCCAGAGGAGCAATGGCTTCCTTAAAGACCATTTAACTAAACTCTCTCTAGAAATTTGCAGCTCCTGGCCAGACCTTCTGCCCATGGTCCTGACTGGAATCCAGGCTACACCAAGGAGCCCCATCTTTTTACCTTCCTAAGAATCTTATCTCCCAGGTTGTATTTCAGCTCTAGGCATAGAAAAGCAACAAAACCAGACAAGTGATGCTATGGCAGCCTCAGGACCAGTCTTTACCTCCCAAGTGACTCAACAGAATTGCTCTCAAGAACTTCACCAACTATTCCCTTTGGGAAATTAGGCTGCTGTACTCCTTGTCCACCCTCTTGTCATTAGGCCAACTGGTGTCTATTTCTCTGTTTCCTCTTTACCCCCTTTCTCATGCACTATGTCACTAGTCTTTTGCAGAACAGAATGCAGGCATTCACCAACCAGAAGGTGGGAGAGAACCTAGCATCAGAATCCTTGAGACTCCGGGTAGACACCCCTATGGAAGATAGACCTCTAGCCCCTGCCCCTGCCCAGACTCTCAATTTATAAATATATCAAAGAGTCTGGAATGTGAGATCCTCCCTCCCCCAAAATGATGGGCAGATATGACATTACTGGCATCTGCCACCAAGACATCTGCAAGACATTGAACTACCAATCAGCATGTGCTGAAGTGCCCTGGGTCCAACCCTTTCCTGTTCCTCCCCTCAAAAGGCTTCCCCACCCCTCCACGTGCTGCTGCTCTCCATCTATGTCTGTGGAGTCAGCCCAGTTGGGTCCTTTCTGCTCTTCCCCCCTCCTTTAATTCTGATTTCTCTACCTCCGTAATGAGTCCCGCTCATTACTGGGGAATAAACCTTCCTTTAATATGGAAAATAAATAAATAGACAAATAATAAGGTAATTATAAAAATTAGCATATCAATGATAAAAATGGACTACTTTTACTAAGCACTTAGTAGTGATATCATTCTAATACTTTAAATTTATTCATTGATTGAATCCTCATAACAAACCAATAGATATAGCATAATTATATTTAATATACATGAAATAAAACATATGAAATGCCACTAAAACCTATCAATAAAATGTAAAAAAAAAATCTGAAAGGATTGACAACATTTTTATAATAGTTGTTAACATTCTAGTATGGGTTTGGGATTAGGGTTAATGAAAAGGAACATAAAAGTTTATAAGGAAAAGATGTGGATAATTTCAGCAATTAAAATACATGTTTTAAAAGAAAAACACAAATCCAAAGATAAATTTTGGGTCATGCTACTCAGGGCATGTGAACATTTAGATGCAACCATAACATGAATAATAAGGCCATTTAAAAAGGTCATTCAGTATAAGTCATTAAAAATAAAAATCTACATTTGCTGAAATGGCAATATTTTTTTGGCATGTTAAGAGAACATAAAGACACAATATGCATACCATGACTACACTTTCTTTAAAGACAAAGTATGGTAGGATATACTCTACCAACTTGAGAGTAGTCATCTACAGTTACTCTGATTAAAATTAATATTTGCTTTTAGGTTTTCTGTTTTATAAGAAAATATAAATTTGTGAGAAAAAAATATTAACACTGATTTCAAAAACCAAATTAAATTTTTATAGGAATTAAAAATACAAGATAACATAATTTAAGCACAAAGATATAAATCAGAACAGAAAAAATAGCTCCGAAACACAAGCAAATATAAAGAATAATATAAAATTAACACCAAGAAGGTAGGACAAAATAATGGAAAAGAAAAGAATTACTGAACATCTGCCATTAGTACAATAGTGGAAAGCATGGGTAAATGCCAATATATATATGGTAATTATGAAAATTAGCATTTACACTAATGAAAACAGTGAAAATGGTAACTAACATTATTTTTTGTTTAAAATATTAGTTAGAGCTTTAACTTTTATTATTCATCAGTATGAATTCCCTGATGATTAATGAGATCTGACCTACTATTAAATGCCTTCCCATATTCCCTAGTTTTAGGGCTTTTCACCAGTATGAATTCTCAGATGTCGAGTAAGGTTTGAGCATTTATTAAAAGCCTTTCCACATTCATTACATTCATATGGTTTTTCATCTGTATGAATTCTCTGATGTTGAAAAAGTTGTGAGTTTTGAGTAAAGGCTTTCCCACATTCAAGGCATTCAAAAGGTTTCTCACCAGCATGAATTCTCTGATGTTGTCGAAGTTGTGAGCTCTGAGTAAAAGCCTTGCCACATTCCTTACAATCATAGGGTTTTTCCCCAGTGTGAATTCTCTGATGATTAGTAAGTGCTGAGCCACTACTGAAGGCTTTGCCACATTCCTTACACTCATAGGGTTTTTCACCAGTATGAATTCTCTGATGCTGAACAAGCTTTGAGCTCTGAGTAAAAGCTTTGCCACATTCCTTACATTCATAGGGTTTCTCACCTGTATGAATTCTTGCATGTTGAAAAAGTTGTGAGCTCTTAGTAAAGGCTTTCCTACATACTTTACATTCATAGGGTTTTTCACCAGTGTGAATTCTCTGATGGTCAATAAGATTTGAGCAATAACTAAAGGCTTTCCCACATTCCTTACATTTATAGGGTTTCTTACCAGTATGAATTCTCTGATGCTGAGAAAGGTATGAGCTACAACTGAAGGCCTTTCCACATTCATTACATTCAAAGGGTTTTTCACCAGTATGAATTTTCAGATGTCGAGTAACATGTGAGCCACAGCTAAAGAATTTCCCACACTCCTTACATTCATAAGATTTTTCACCATTATGAATTCTTTGATGTTGAATAAACTGTGTATTCTGATTAAAGACTTTTCCACATTTCTTGCATTCATAAGGTTTCTCTTCAGAATTAATTATTTGATGCAGAGTAAAGAATGTCTGTTGAATATATGTGGGCATATATCCATTAGTAAATATTTCTTGGCTGAAATGACCATTCTGATATCCCAGTTGTCTTTCAAGGTGACTGCCATATTCCAAAACATCTCTATAATGAGAATACTCAAGGCCATGCTTTGTAAGTCCCATCATCTCCCTCTGGCATGATTCTATTTCATAAATTTCCTTCTTTAAAGATAATAACTTGGTTTCACACATTGACTCCAGATCTGAAAGAAATAAAATTGCAAATATTACTTCTGTCCCATTTGTAAAAAGTTAAATTTTTATAATATAAATTGAAAAATTTAACTGAAAATATCTGGTAGTAAAAGGCTCTCAAGTATATTTGTTTAATCTGAAAAATGGACTAGAAATGTATAGAAAGTACTGAGATATAGCCATCCACATACCCTATGACATTTTAGTCAAATTTGGACCACATCTGAGTTGTGGTCCCATCCTATATAATAAAAGAGTAATATGCAAATTGACCAAATGGCAGAATGACCAATCACTATGACACACACTGACCACCAGGGGCAGATGCTCAATATAAGAGCTACCTCCTAGTGGTTAGTGTGCTCCTACAGGGCAGTGTTACGGATGTTCAACTGCTGGCTTAGACTTGCTTCCCATGGGCCTAAGCCACCAGTTGGACATCCTCTGAGGGCTCATGGACTAAGAGAGAGTGCAGGCCAAGTTTAGGGAGTGCAAAAATTTCATGCACCAGGCCTCTAGTAAATACATAATGGAACTGAAAAATTCCTATTGCCTAGTTACATCCTAGATGTTCTAAGGTTGTGCTATAATATATTACTCATGTTTGTGGTAAAGCTGGTATAAACAAACCTAGTGCACTTCTAGCTGTATAAAAGTATAGCACACACAATGATAGTAGTAAGCTATGTCATCTAGGTTTGTGTAAGTATACTCTATGATGTCACATAGTGATGAAATCACCTAACAATACCTCTTTCAGAACGAATCCCTGTTGTTAAGTGTACATGACTGTATAATGCAGAAAGTGGGAAGAAGAGATTATGGACATAGAAAACTACAATCCTTCTCAAATAATCATATGAATCAGAATCATCTGTAAAGATTGGTAAATATACAATGCTTGAGCATATGAAAAATGACTAGTTCCATATACATCTGTATAAGCATGTGTGTATGTATATACATATATTATAAAAACTGAATAATTTTCTGACCTTCATTTTAGGCTCTTGAAAGGAATAAATCCATATAGTGGAAGATTCTTGGCTCTTGATATAATAAAAAAAATAAATTTGGTCTTTGCACCTGGTTCCTACTACAGAGCTTTAACAAATCTTGGAATTTCTTGTATTATAGAAGTATTTTTGTTATGCTAATGAAGTCAAACATAGTAGGTCCAAAGATAGTTTTAGGATAGACATTGGTCACCAGAAAGACAAAACATGTGATTAGAAGTTTAGAATTTCATCTTCTCAATCTCTGGAGATATAAGAGGAACCAGAAATTGACTGGCTAATGACTCAATCATGTGAATATAAATAAATCATAATAAAAAAATTCTGGACACTAAAGCTCACTGGAGCTTGATACCTGAACACACTGAAATGCTAAAAGGGTGATACATTTTGACTCAACAGTAAGAGAATGTGGAACCTCTACATCTGGAAGCCTACCACACCTTAGCCTAATATGTATGCTTTATAATAAAATTGCAACTATAAGTATAGAGCTTTCCTAGTGCTGTGTTATTCTAGCAATCTTTAAAACTGTAAGGGTCATGGAAAGCCCCAACTTTATAGCCAGTTGGTTGGAAGTATAGGTGTTCTGAGGACCCCCTGAGACTTACAACTGGCATCTGAAGTAAAGGCAGTATTATGTAGGGTTTTGTGGGGTTTATGTCAACTCTGGGTAATTAGTGCTAGAATTAAATTGCTGCCAACTCAGTTTGAACAGAAACAATAGACTCCATAATAAAGAATATATTGGGTGAAATATGAAAGAGATTACAGAGAGTAAACCATGTGAGGGAAAAAACCTGAGATAAGTCTAAGGATTTAACTACTTTGATGTGAGTGGCAGATAGGGAAGACTCAGAATCTGTTATGTGCTAGGGATTAAGTGAAACTATTGTTTGCCTTAGGATTTTGTGATGCTTATTTTAGAAGAGAGTGCTCATGTACCACCTTTAGTGACTGAGAGGAAAGGCAGCTGAAATTTAAGGCAGACAGAAAGAAAATGACAAAGTGCAAAACTCTGACATTTACTCATTATATGTTCCTAGGCAATTATTTAACCTTTCTAAATCCCCACTTCTTTATCTGTAAAGATAAAGAAATAATTACTGGAATGGTGATGAAATTTTTATAATTATCTCTCAATAAAGTGTTAAGTATTTGACAAGTATTATTATGAAAGAATTTCTTATCAAAAAGTAGAATTTTTAAGCTAATGAAATGATTTGAAGATATCAAAATGGTACCTATTAGAAAATCTCTAATATAATCTTTTTTACTTCTACCTCTATATAACCTTTTAATAATTTTAAGCTCCAAAATAACTTAAAACTATCCTCTTCTATTTTCAGTACTAATGCCCTCTTCCAAACCAGAATTATCTCTTACTCAGAACACTGAAATAGCCTCCTAATCCAGTTTTCCCAGCAAATTTCACACTCAGTAATCTATTCCAGAACCAAAAATGCACTTGGCTTGGGTTTCCACCACAAAAATCCATACTTCTCATAAGGTGTTGGAAGCTATCCATTGTCTTTACTATCAGAAAAGTGTAAATAAGGAATGCAGAAGGCTCATAAACCTTGATTTGCCAGAGCTATGCACCAATTGTTTAGTTGAGACAATGGTGGCTCAAGCAATTTTCTGACCAAATAGTCTCAAAGTAAATCAATTTACTGACCTTTAAGATAGTCTGTTTGTTACTGGAATTACCTGCCTTGCTAAGGGCAATATGTGTATCCAAAACTGAATAAAAGGTTGGCAAGGCCTGGGCTCTCTGCCTGGCCCCCAATTTCCAAATTATTATTTCTTTTCTTGTCTCATCATTTTCCCCTGGTCCTTCTCCAGATCCCAAACCTAAGCCACGGAGGACATGGCTTCTCATAGCCAGCAGAGGCTGAATAATGTGGTTCTTACATGTCTCTCCAAACTTTACTCACATTTCACTCTCGCTTGCTTATGGGGCCCAGCAATACTGGCTTTCTTTCAGTTCTTTAAACACACCAAGTTTTCCCCTTCTAGGAGGGTTTTCACAGGGATTCTTCCCTCTTCTTAGAGTTTTCTTCTTTATTAACAAATTGAATAGTAAGATCTAGCAGTAACCCTAGTACTACAGTAGTTATGAAATAGTGATGAGCACAAATAATAATTCAATATGTTGATTTTCATTCATGTCAAAATCATGGAACTAATACTATTATGGTTTGCTGAATATACCATAATTGGAAGAAATACTAAGTTTCACTTAGAGTTTAGTAAATATTAGTATTTTTTATGTTTTTAGAGATGGAGGGAGAAAGAGAAAAATATTGATGTGAGAGACATTTATAGATTTCCTCCTGTACATGCCCCAACCAGGGGCTGGCCCTGCAATCTAGATATGTGCCCTGACCTTCTGGGGTCATGAGATTACTCTCCAACCAAATGAACACTGGCTAGGGCAAGAAGCATTTTTCTCCTCATCTAAGTTAATTGACTCCCTATATTCTACACAAAGAAATATAAAATTAGCAATCTCTGAGTCACAAGTATTCCTTTAAAAACTCCTCTGTTCAAATCACCTCATTCAGAATAAAATAGCTTTATACCTACTTCATTCAGAACAGAATTCAAAGACCATACCTAAGTCCAAAAAAATCCAAATCACCTACAGGTATATCTGAGAAGGAAAACCCCTATTTTATAACAAACTGCTGTTTGGAATTTTCTGCTTTTAGATGGCCTCTTATCCTAAAATGTTGCTTTCTAGTCTGCTTTAGCCTGTTTGAAGAATGATGAAGATAAACTTAGCTGTATGACCTTGTAGGCCAGAGACTAGATATATCCATAATCTCAATGCCATGCCAGGTGCATTTTTTAATTGGATAGAACTGTATTGTTTTCAAGGCCAGCATGGAGATAACCACTAAGTGCACATAGGGCTGGCTCTTTAATAAAAAGGGAAGTTCTGCTTATAGCCTTGCTTAGAATTTAAATTCATTTTCTCTAAGACCATCGTGAGATAAATAAAGTAAGTCTCTCCAAACTCTCCTCCTGCATTGTTTGATTGTTCGGGAACTCTGTAACATACCCTACTTCCCATATGTACCTAGCATACCAATACCTCATATATCCTGCTACTTTGCTGATCTCCTTTCACATGATTGCCTCTTGCTCACACAATGGCAGAAGCCCAAATTCTGGAAGCTATACTGAAGACTATTACTTGGAGGTGAAGAGTAGTGCAGATATACACATGCATGTGCGTGCACACACACATTTTATTTTGAGGATGGTAACATTTAGAGAAGTCTAAGAGAATGAACTGAATCTTAAATATGGGTAAAAGTTTTCTTTGGAGGGGAAGTGAAGAAAATCTTCTACTTGAAATTAAGTGGTGTGTTAAAGAATAATAATAAAAAGATTAGTAAGTGAGGGAAGAAATGAAACAGGTCATTTGTAAACTCACGGTAAAAAAAAACAACTTTGTTTTTCTCACAGGCCTCGTGTTTTGATGGCAGCTCCTAAGATAATATCTTGAAGACAATGTTTCTATACTGATGAACTGAGTTATTACCTATAATGCCTTGCTTTGTTCAATCATTTCTTACTTACCTGAACACAGACCTCTTGTCAGTTCTCTGCCAAACATCCAGGGCTCTTTCCCTTGTTCCAATAAGGAGATGACATGAGGCTTAGGTATGTAAAATCCTGCTCATAAGAAAAGACATGAATCATGGTTATGCTATGGGTAAATCAGATCCATGTAAGATCCAGTCCCTTGATGATAAAAAAAGAGAAGCCATTACAGGAATAGCCAAAGAAAAAAGATGAAGCTTCAGCCATAGCCAATTGGAATTTCAGTTTTCTGTTCTTCTTTTTCATTTCAGTTCCAACCATTTATTTGGGAATAGAGAGCAAGAATTCAGCTAGTAACTCAAAAAGCAGCTAAGAAATTCATTGTGGAAGAAAACAGACATTCTAGAAGAGAATTCTAAATTACTGGTATAAATGACATTACCCACTGATAGCAGATTGCTGTAGTTTTCCAGCATTACATCTCTGTACAAGTCCCTCTGAGCAGGGTCCAGGCATTCCCACTCCTCCTGAGAGAAATCTATAGCCACATCCCTGAATATCATTGATTCCTGAAACAATAAACACATGTAGTCTTGTGTAATAATAATAAATAAAAAAACACTTCAGACTACTGCACTTATAATGTGGGGTAAAGCAATTATATAGTGTCACTGAGAACCAGAATCTTTCGATCTCAGAAACAGAAGTAAGAGTAACATGTGTATTTAACATTAAAAAACATACAGACGGCATCAAAATTACAACAAAACTACAGGACAACTATCATTCAGAACTGTCTGAAATCTAGTAGAATGGAAATTCTACAATTAGGGACTTAAAGAAAAAGCCATATTGAGATTTGTAGGAGAGGCAGAGATCAGTAATGGGCTGGTCCCACAACCACATGTGGTGAATAGAAATCAGGAGAGATATCTCAGCTGCAGAGTTCCCTCCTAAAAAATAAGGGATCCCAGACTCACATAAGCCACCCCCTGCAACCCAAGGTTCCAGTGTCAGGAAGAGAACTCCCCAAAACTCTGGCTGTAAAAAACAGCTAGGTTTGAGGCTGCATGAGAAGGATGGCTATTGGGAGTCCCAGGCAGTTCCTCTTAAAGGGCCCATGCACAGAATTACTGAAACTCCCTCCCTCTGAGCTCCAGAGTTGGGGCAGCAGCTTGAAAGAGGTACCAAGGACAAATAGGGAGGAATTAAATTGTCTGACATCAAGTGCAATAGGTGGTGGTGGTGGGGAAGGGGCAGCTTTCTGCCAGACAAAAGTGCTAGCATACTCTATTGCTTATTTGTTGAGCTCATCCCTCCACCCCCGAAAAGCAGGCAGGTGGGTGCCATATCTGAGTCCCTCACTCACATTTGTTCATCTTGCCCCAGTGATACCCCATGACCATGCCCCACCCAACTTGTGCGCACATGCAAGTTGTATCCAGTGGCTCATGCTTCAGACTTTCTTAAAATCTCTCAAATGAGCAGCATCTGACGTCAGTGTTCTCGTACCTCTTGCTAAGTGGTCCAGGCACAGCACTATCAGTAGCTGGCCTTAGTTCATAGCATGGCCTCACATGGGCACTTCCAAATCCAGCACAAGTAGCAACCACCTAAATATTAATTTGTTGCTCATTCTAGATGGCCTCAGACAGAACACAGGCATGGCCAATCTTGATCTAGACTTCCAGGGAGGCCCAGATTAGAGCACCCAGTGGACAGTTTCAGACCACAATGAAGCACCCCCCAATCACCTCCATAAAGGTCACACTCAAGAGGCAGATTCTAAGCACCAGAGCACCACTGGAGTCAGTCTTGCTCTGTGTCAGGCCCCTGCACAGCTGATCCTCAAAGATGGTCAGTATTTATTGCCAATGCTTGCAGCCAATTGGCCTGGAGGTAAATCCCTCCCATTGATATGCCAACAACAATCAAGGCTCAACTGCAACATGAGGGTATACACAGCTGGAGAGGAGCACACCTGGAGTGTCCAGCTTGGGAGACAGGAGAGGGTGTGCCAATGAACCCTATATGGTATCTACTACATTAGGCCACTCTACCAAGCCCAGGAGACACAACAGCTCTACCTAACAAATAGAAACAAACACAGGGAGGCTGCCAAAATGAAGAGTCAAAGAAACATGTCCCAAAATAAAAAAATAGAACAGAATACAAGAAAAAGAACTAAGCAAAATGGAGACAAGAAATGTAGATGTAGAGTTCAAAAAATTTGTTATAAAGATGCTCAATGAACTTAGTGAGAACTTCAAAACTGTAAAAAAGAAACAAATGGAAATGAAGGATACAATAACTGAAATGAAGAATAATTTACAGGGAATCAATAGTAAAGTAGATGAAGTCAAGAATCAAATAATCAATTTAGAATATAAGGAAACAGAAAACACCCAATCAGAACACCAAAAACAACAACAAAACAAAACAATCCCCCCCCCATAACACACACACACACACACACACACACACACACACACACACTCACACACACACACCAAACAAAACAAAACAAAAAAGTAGATAGTATAAGGAGCCTCTGGAACAACTTTAAGCATACCAACATTCATCATGGGGATGCTGGAAGGAAAGAGAGAGAACAAAAATTTAAAAACCTATTTGAAAAACATAATTACAGAAAAGTTCCCTAACCTGGTGAAGAAAATAAACATATAGGTCAAGGAAGCACAGAGTCCCAAACAAGATGAAACCATAGAGGCCCACACTAAGATATATCATAATAAAATGCAATGGCTAAAGACAAAGAAAATTTTAGAATCACCAAGAGAAAGGCAGTTAGTTATTTCAAAGAGATCTCCCAGGGAGATATCTATAATATTATCAACAATAAAAATATATAAAAAATAAGTAAATAAATAATAAAATAAATTAGAAAGAGATGAGAGAGAGAAAAAGAAAGAGAGAGAGAGAGAGAGAGAGAGAGAGAGAGAGAGAGAGAGAGAGAGAGCTCCCATAAGACTGTCAGCTGATTTCTCAACAGAAACTGTGCAGACCAGAAGTGACTTGCAAGAAATACTCAAAGAGATGAAAAGCAAGGACCTATCAACCAAAATTACTCACATTCCATGAATCATTTAAAATCAAATGATAAAGAGCTTCCCAGAAAAGTAATTAAGTAATGCCCCATGAACATCAAACCAGTATTATATGAAATTAATGGCCTGGTGCACAAAATTCATGCATGGTTGGGGGGGTGCCCTTCAGCCTGACCTGCACCCTCTTCGATCTGGGATCCTTCGGGGAATGTCCAACTGCTTGATCCCTTAGGCCCAAACCAGCAATTGGACATCCCTCTTGTAATCTGGGACTGCTGGCTCCTAACTGCTCAACTGCCTGCCCGCCTGATCAACCTTAACCACCTTTGCCAGCCAGATTGCCCCTAATCTCTCTGCCTGCCAGCCTGCTCACCCCTAACTGCCCCCCTGTTGCCTGCTCATCCCAACTGCCTCCACCCCCCCTCCCCCCGCTGCTGGCCTGCTCACCCCAACTGTGTCCCCCAGCTGGCCTGCTCACCCCCAGCTGACAGCCTGCTTGCTGCCAACTGCCCCCCACTGCCAGCCTGCTCACCCCAACTGGCCCTCCTGCCAGCCTGCTCACCCCAACTGCTCCCCACCAGCCTGCTCAACCCCAACTGCCCTCCCTGCCAGCCTGCTCATCCCCAACTGCCCCCCCCCCCACTGCTAGCCTGCTCACCCCCAACTGCCCTCCCCTCTTGACCTTTTCACCTCTAACCACCTCTGCCTCAGCCCCACCACCATGGCTTTGTCCGGAAGGTCTCCTGGTCTAATTAACATATTATGCCTTTATTAGTATACTCGAGACTCCGTGCACAAAATTAGTGCATGGGGGGGGGGGATGGGAGGGTGTGTTTGACCCTCAGTCCAGCCTGCACCCTCTCCAATCTGGGACATCCTTCTTACAATCCAGAACTGCTTGCTCCCAATTGCTTGCATGCTGGCCTTCCTGATTGCCCTTAACCACTTCTGCCTGCCAGCCTGATTGATGCCTAATTGCTCCCCTGCCAGCTTTTTTTTGCCCCTATCTGCCCTCTCCTGAAGGCCTGGTCCCCCCAACTGCTCTCCCCTGCAGGCCTGGGTCCCTCTCAACTGCTCTTCCCTGCGGGCCCAGTTGCCCCCAACTTCCTTCCTCTGCCAGCTTGGTCACACCCAACAGCCAACTGCCCTCCCCTGCTCACCTGATTGCCCCCAACTGCCCTCCACTGCTAGCCTTGTCCCTCCCAATTGCCCTCCCTTGCAGGCCTGGTCCCTCCCAACTGCCCACCCCTGCTGGCAATCTTGTGGTGGCCATCTTGTGTCCACATGGGGGCAGGATCTTTAAATACATGGGGGCAGCCATCTTGTGTGTTGGAGTGATGGTCAATCTGCATATTACTCTTTTATTAGATAGGGTAGAAGCCTGATGCATGGGTGGGGGTTGGCTGGTTTGCCTTAAAGGATGTCCCGGATAAGGGTGGAGGTTCCCTTGGGGTGTGGGGTGGCGTGGGCGAGGGGCCTGTGGGGGTTTGCAGGCTGGCCATGCCCCTTATGAACCAAGTGGAGGCCCAATCTGCACAACCCCTACTAGGGATTGAACTCGCAACCCAGGCACATGCGCTTGACCAGAATTGAACTTGGGACCCTGCAGTCTGCATGCATACACTGAGCCAAACCAGCCAGGGCACCACCAGTCACTTTTATAATGTTGTATTGCTTCTAGAAGAAACACCGTGCCACCTTCCCCATCTGACTGCCTGTCCCACCTAGCCATCTGCACACTGCTGTTTCAGACATTTTATGGGAATGGGACCATACACAATGGGTGTTTTGTGACTAGCTGCCTCACTTGGGTGTATACCTTGGAGTGGTGGGTTGCAGAGTCCTATGTGACTGACTGATATTAATCATTTGAGGAGTGACTGCACCATTTCCATTCTGAAAGCTGTGTGTGAGGGCTTGGATTTGTCCAGATCCTCATCAACACTTGCTATCAGGTAACTTTTGGTTTTAGTGACCTCGGGGTCCCACTGAAGCATTGCTCTTTAGAGCAACAATCTATTTTTTTCATTTCCATTTTAAAAGTGGAAGTTGTTTAAAATGTCTGCACAAACAACCCTATTGGTAATTTCTCGTTGCTCAGGTTTGGCTGTTACATAGCTTGCAGGGGCTAAGTCTGTCCCAGGCCGACCTCACTCCCCTGCTGCTTGGTCCTGTCTGGTACTGGAGAGGGCCCTTCGGGACACCAATCAATCCTCTGTGGGGCTGGCCACAGCCTATGTTGGGCTTTGGGAGCTGAAGAAAGAAGAGCGAGGTTCAGGAGCAGTTTTGGGGTCATGCCTATTGCAGTGACAGTGCTGCTCCCTGCAGGCTGAGGTGAGTGGTGCTGGGGGAGGGGATGAGAGGGCCTTCTCTGAATGAAGCCATTGGAGTCCAACACCTCCTGGGTGCCCATATGCAAGCTTCACTATGCCCACTGTCCTGGCTTCTGTGCCTCAGAAGGCAAAGGTCCAATCAGCAAAAATGAAAACTTTGAAGAGGTG